CCCCAGCGATGGCGGAAACAATTGGGCAGTTTCTTACACCCCGATGCCCCTGTTACCTATCAGTAAATAGCTACCTGGGAGTTAGGCAGATGTTACGGGTTGCTTCCTGGGTGGGTGGGGGTAGGGGTGTGCGTGTGTACTCACCTAATTGTACTCACATAATTGTGCTTGCGGGGGTTGAGCTCTGGCTCTTTGGTCCCGCCTCTCAACCGTACAACCGTCAAGGTGTACAGGTTCCTGAGCCTATTGGGCTCTATCATATCTACACTTGAAACTGTGTATGGAGTCAGCCTCCACCACATCACTGCCTAATGCATTCCACCTGTTAATTAACTACTGACACTGAAAAAGTTCTTTCTAACGTCCCTGTGGGATGTTAGAAAGTCCCACAGGGACTGTGTGTGTGTGTGTGTGTGTGTGTGTGTGTGTGTGTGTGTGTGTGTGTGTGTGTGTGTGTGTGTGTGTGTGTGTGTGTGTGCGTGTGCGTGCGTGCGTGCGTGCGTGCGTGCGTGCGTGCGTGCGTGCGTGCGTGCGCGAAAAAATAGTAACAGCTGATTGACAGTTGAGAGGCGGGTGGAAAGAGCAGAGCTCAACCCCCGCAAGCACAACTAGGTGAATACGCGCGCGAGAGAGCTGCTGTGGAGCCTGCCAATGCCTGGTAGTTGGCCAACATCCTGCAAGTGAAGGGAAGGAGGAAGCCTGGATGGCCGAGCTCTCTCCCTCACACACTCCCCCACCCCCCCTACACACACACTCATTCACTCTTCCTCCCCCAAGCATCACCCCCTTACACACTCATTCACTCCCCCCCCCTCACAGTCACTCACTCCCCCCAACACATAAGGGACATAACTGGCCGGCCTCTCTCAGTGTTCAAGCGAGAACTCAACAAACACCAACAAAAAATATCTGATCAACCAAGCTGTGATTCATACGTCCAACAACATGGTTGATCAGACGACCATCAGGAAGGCCTGGTCGGAGACCGCGCCGCGGGGGCTGCTGATCCCCGGAAGATATACAAGGTAGAAACAAGGAGTAGGGTAGGCACTCACTAAGCGCCCCCCCCCCCCCACCGGATACCTGGATAGGGTTTCTAGAGTTCTACTCCCCGAGCCCGGCTCAACGACTTGTGATAACTTGATCCAACAGGCTGTTGCTTATAGCGGCCCGCAGGTCCACATATCCCACTAGAACCCCAATTGGTCCGGCACTTCTTGCAGAAACTTATCTAATTGCTTCTTGAAGACTTCTACCTTTGTTCCGGCAATATTTCTTATGCTTACTGGGAGGGTCTTGAAGAGCCTGGACCCCCCAGGGCCAGATTCACGAAAGTCCTTACGCAAACACTTACGAACCTGTCCATCTTTTCTCAATCTTTGGCGGCTTTGTTTCCAATTATTAAACAGTTAATGAGCTCCGAAACACCAGGAGGCTGTTTATAACAATAACAACAGTCGATTGGCAAGTTTTCATGCTTGTAAAATGTTTAAATAAATGTAACCAAAGCCATCAAAGATTGAGGAAAGATGTACACATTCGTAAGTGCTTGCGTAAGTGCTTTCGTGAATCTGGCCCCTGGTGTTCACACTGTGTGCTCTCTGAGGAAGTGACTCCTCAATTATTCTATCCTGCATTTCCTTCTGTACCTTACGCTCCAGTATGTTGTTATTCTACTGTGCAAATTTGAGACCTGGTCCTCCGGTGTTTTCCATGTATATATATTGTTTGGTACCTTTCTCGCCTCCTTTCAAGAGAGGCGAGAAAGCTCTTCCACTCTGAGAGCTTCGAGACGGTCTCAATAGTTTAGATGCTTTACCGTGTCTGTGTGTACCGTGTATGCTCTCTCTATTCCCTCTATTTCAGTACTCTTTCGGTTGGCGAAGGGATATTTCGCCCCCACACACACCCACAAAGGTCAATCCACCCACAAACGTCAGTCCACACACCCACAACAGGAGCCCACTGAGGGCGTCCTAGCCTCGTCGTCTGGGTGAGGGAGAGAGTGACGACTCAGCCACCAGGCCGACCAAAGCCGTCCCAGCACACACGACAACAGACGGCTGCAGCAGCGGCCTTACCAATCTGTGCCTCACGAAGAATAATCAAAATGGTCGAGGAAGACTGGTCAATATGGTTGAAGGAAGATGGTCAATATGGCTAACAACCGTTGACCCAAATGGCTGAGACACGCTGATGATCAGGAAGGCGGAAGACAGGCTAGGATGGCTGGAACACAAATGAGAAAATGGCTAATGCAGGCTGAAAATAATGGCTTAAGACGCCTAGCCATAATGGGACCACTGGACGTTGGACGTGATAGTGGTGTAGCTGGGACCACTGGACGTGACAGAAGTGTAGCTGGGACCACTGGACGTGACAGAAGTGTAGCTGGGACCACTGGACGTGACAGAAGTGTAGCTGGGACCACTGGACGTGACAGAGGTGTAGCTGGGACCACTGGACGTGACAGAGGTGTAGCTGGGACCACTGGACGTGACAGAGGTGTAGCTGGGACCACTGGACGTGACAGAGGTGTAGCTGGGACCACTGGACGTGACAGAGGTGTAGCTGGGACCACTGGACGTGACAGAGGTGTAGCTGGGACCACTGGACGTGACAGAGGTGTAGCTGGGACCACTGGACGTGACAGAGGTGTAGCTGGGACCACTGGACGTGACAGAGGTGTAGCTGGGACCACTGGACGTGACAGAGGTGTAGCTGGGACCACTGGACGTGACAGAGGTGTAGCTGGGACCACTGGACGTGACAGAGGTGTAGCTGGGACCACTGGACGTGACAGAGGTGTAGCTGGGACCACTGGACGTGACAGAGGTGTAGCTGGGACCACTGGACGTGACAGAGGTGTTGCTGGGACCACTGGACGTGACAGAGGTGTTGCTGGGACTTGATTCTTTTAGGATTCTCCTCCCAGCAAGGTACCGTGTACCCTACCTCCAACTCCATACACCTATTTTCATTACCTTACACTTGCTGGAATTAAACTCTAGTAGTCATTTGTCGGACCTGTTACCTATTTACAGCTAGGGGAACATGGGCATCATGGTGAAAGAAACTCTCCCCATTTGTTTCTGCCTCGGCCGGGAGTCGAACCCGGGCTCTTAGGACCACGACCCCCAAACACTGTTCACACAGTCGCGAGTGTGTGTACTCACGTTCATGTACTCACACACACACACACACACACAGTGTGTGTGTGTGTGTACTCACCTAGTTGTGCTTGCGGGGGTTGAGCTCTGGCTCTTTGGTCCCGCCTCTCAACCGTCAATCAACGATAAATTCCCCCCCCCCCCCGTACAGGAAGCAGCCTGGAACAGCTGTCTAACTTCTAGTTACCTATTTACTGCTAGGTAACAGAAGCATCAGGGTGAAAGAAACTGTCCATTTGTTTTCCGCCATCGCCGAGGATCGAACCCCGGTCCCCAGGATTACGAGTCCTGAGTGATGTCCACTCAGCCACCAGGCTGTGTGTGTGTGCGTGTACTCACCTAGCTGCACTTGCGGGTGTTGAGCTTCAAGAAACACTGTCAGCAGAAATACAACGCAATACCTTAGCCTCTCACATGAGTCATCGTCTGCCAAGGAAGTGAAGGCATCAAACAAGTGATCCAATAATACTCACCACACTCTCAATATCAAGTCACTTCAACGGTACAGCTCCACGTAATCATTAATCACTCTCAAAACTCTTAAATAGTGGAAAATAAACAATTTATAATTTTATCAAAAGTAGAATTTTGCGGACAAAAATTTCACGAGTAATCCTGCGATTATTTCACCACTAACGCCACTTGAGCACATATATATCCACACTATGTCACCATATTCTCACAGATAGCAACATCATTTCAGCACTAGATATCCACACGGGTAGCAACACTGAACATTAACCAACACCTCGTCGCAATACTCCACACTGAGGCTCCTCGACTACCACTTTTCTGGAACTGAGCCGCGCGCACACAGCAAGGGTAATTAGGAGCCGTCATGCCCCGAGTATAACCCACAGCGAGGCTCCAGCCAGGGCAGGCATACCCAGGCCCCAGCCAGGGCAGGCATACCTAGGCTCCAGTCAGGGCAGGCATACCCAGGCCCCAGCCAGGGCAGGCATACCCAGGCCCCAGCCAAGGCAGGCATACCCAGACCCCAGCCAGGGCAGGCAGGCATACCCAGACCCCAGCCAGGGCAGGCAGGCATACCCAGGCCCCAGCCAGGGCAGGCATACCCAGGCCGCAGCCAGGGCAGGCAGGCATACCCAGACCCCAGCCAGGGCAGGCAGGCATACCCAGACCCCAGCCAGGGCAGGCAGGCATACCCAGACCCCAGCCAGGGCAGGCAGGCATACCCAGGCCCCAGCCAGGGCAGGCAGGCATACCCAGGCCCCAGCCAGGGCAGGCAGGCATACCCAGGCCCCAGCCAGGGCAGGCAGGCATACCCAGGCCCCAGCCAGAGCAGGCATACCCAGGCCCCAGCCAGGGCAGGCATACCCAGGCTCCAGCCAGGGCAGGCATACCCAGGCCCCAGCCAGGGCAGGCATACCCAGGCCCCAGCCAGGGCAGGCATACCCAGGCCCCAGTAGACACACACACGAGGCTGGCCAGATGGACGGGTCCGGTGAGAAGCCCACACTGTCGCCACCAGTGATAAACGTACAGCGAGATATAATCGATTTGGGATCCGTCTGCGAGTCCCTTTTCACCAGTGAAAACACTAATTGTATACGTACACACAAGACACTAGTGGGATAAAGAGGGTGGGAGGGTGTGGGAAGGAAGGAGCCAGGAGAGGACCCATGGGATGGAGGAGAGGGAGGGAGGGTGTGGGACACGATTGTTGGCGAGAGCTCCACAATCAGGTACACACACACACACTAACTCTCACCGACACACATTTAACTTCGCTAGATGGATTATTCCTCACTATATCATCACGTGGGCGGCTCCACTGCCTCGCCCATGCACTTGGTCGCCACTTTTCACCTTGTGTATATCCAAATATCGATTAGATCTTGTAAAAATGGCCGGAAAATCACCACAGCCACCACATCCACCACAGCGAAAACTTGGACTCCCTTCCCAGTGTTGTCGTCACACACTGCGCCCACTATGCTCGCTCCGGGGCTACGCCTAGCTGCACCGAGGCTTACGCTCCTCGCGGGGCCCCCTTCTCACCATGGAAAATACACTGTAATTACTTCTATACAACATACATCCATGATTAATTTATAATCGCATCATTTAACGAGCGAAACAAACAGCTTTTGAGGTAATCCGCCTACTTCAGCGCGAGCATGCACCTCAGAGGCTGAGAAAAATAACCATTTAGTGTCAACCAAAACCCCATTGCACTGAATATTTCTCAAGTAAACACTGATATTTTTCATGATGTGTGGGGGGAGGGGGCTAAGGGGGGGGCTAAGGGGGGAGGGGGCTAAGAGAGGGGGAGGGGGAGGGGGCTAAGAGAGGGGGAGGGGGCTAAGAGAGGGGGAGGGGGCTAAGAGAGGGGGAGGGGGAGGAGGAGGCTGATGGGGGGGGGCACTGAGTGGGAGAATTACACTTTTGTCCATGAAACCTGAGTGGAAAACCCAAGATATTAAGTGTGTGTTCACCTAGTTGTATTTTAGGGGAGGATGGAATGGGTGTGTACTCACCAATTTGTGCTTGCACGGCTTGAGCTCTGGTCCCGCCTCTCAACTGTCAATCAACTGGTGTACAGGTTCCTGCGCTCTATCATATCTACACTTGAGGCTGTGTATGGAGTCAGCCTCCACCACATCACTGCCTAATGCATTCCACCTGTTAACTACTCTGACACTGAAAAAGTTCTTTCTAACGTCCCTATGGCTCATTTGGGTACTCAGTTTTCACCAGTGTCCCCCTTGTTCGCGTACCACCCGTGTTAAACAGTTTATCTTTGTCCACCCTGTCACTTCCTCTGATAATTTTCTACGTAGTGATCATGTCTCCCCTTACTTTTTCTGTCTTCCAGTGTCGTGAGGTGCATTTCACACAGCCTTTCCTCATAACTCATGCCTCTTAATTCTGGGCATTGTCTAGTGGCATACCTCTGAACTTTTTCCCGTTTCAACAAGGTACGGGCTCCATACTCCAGGATTGGTCTTACATATGTGGTATACAAGGTTCTGAATGATTCCTTACACAGGTTCCTGAAGGCAGTTGATGTTAGCCAGCCTCGCATACGCCGCTGATGTTATTCTTTTGATGTGGGCTTCAGGAGACAAGTTTCGTGTGATATCAACTCCTAGATCTCTCTCTTTCCGTTTCGTGAAGAACTTCATCTCCCATTCTGTATTCTATGTCTGGCCTCCTGTTTCCACTGCCCAGTTTCATTACCTTACATTTATTCGGGTTGAACTTTAGTAGTCATTTATTGGACCATCATTCATTCAGTCTAGGTCATCTTGTAGCCTCATACTATCTTTCTCCGTCTTAATCCTCCTCATAATTTTTGCATCAGCAAACAATGAGAGGAATGATTCTATACCCTCTGGTAGATCATTTACATATATCAGAAACAGTATAGGTCCATGGACTGAATGAACCCTGCGGGACTCCACTGGTGACGTCTCGCCAATCTGAGACCTCCCCCCCCCTTCACAGTGACTCGCTGTCTTCTGTTACTTAGGTACTCCTTTATCCAATGGAGTATCTTCTCTTTCACCCCTGCCTGCATCTCCAGCGTTCGCACTAGTCTCTGGTGTGGTACTGCGTCAAAGGCTCTCTGCCAATCAAAAAATTGGATTTTGTTTGCTGAAATTGGAAACTGTTCTCCCAATCTATCTTCCCGTGGTTGAAGTCTTCCATGATTAGTAGTTTGGATCCGTTCCTGGTAGCTACAGAGGCTGCTCTCTATTATAGTGATGGTGGTCATGTTGTTTATCATATTCCTGTCTGGGTCTTCTGTCGTTTGGTGGGGGGGGGGGGGGTTATATATGACTAGCCATTTATGAACTGTACCTTGTTGTTTGTTCTTGTTTTTACTCCTTGTATGTTGGCAAAGATGAATGAGGTTACTCTATTACAGATAGTTGGACTGGGAGACTTTCGGCAAGCCCATTATGCTTGGACATATTGAGTTTGTTCTGGCCAGTGCTGATTGTTGTAGGGCAGTTGTCTGTCGTAGTTGGAGTTCCCTTTTGGTGTGTAATTGTATCTGCAATTGTGGAATGCAAGTGGGTCTGGCATCCAGTTCCACACACTCTCCATGCTGCGCCTTTTGAATTCTCTTTCGGTTTGGTATAAAAAAAATTATCAGGTTTCCTCCAAATTCATTATCCTGCTTGCCACTCTTTATGTAGCGTTCTCCTACACTTTACCTACTACTGTGTGTAGCATTTAGTGGCGCTGCCCATACCCTCGGCCCTCGGGGTAAAACTTTAACTTAAAACTGCCATCAGCGGTGCAGCCCGTCCTCCAAAAATGGGGAGGTAAATGTAAGGAGACAAATAAGTGCAATTATGTACTATTCATAGCAGTTAGTAATTGTACTTATTTTCACTTAGTATTAAATCGTACTGTCAAATATATTGTGAATATTTGAGTCTCCCTGAAAAACTGAATAGAAAACCACAACCTCACCTAACCGTCTTAGTTTTTGAAGATAATAATTTTATTGCTTCTTAATTACAATTAGTACTTAACCTATAGCTATATTGATATTACAGTTTTATAAAACTAATAAAACAAAACTAAAATATATCATTAAATTGTAAAGTAACTCAGAATATTTTAAAATTTTGTATAAAATCTATATTGTTTAATAAACCTGAGAAAGAAATTCCTGATATTTAAAACTTGTGTATTGCAATTTGAAATTGAAAACGTCGTCCTAAAATTATGATTGGCTTAACAGAAAACGAGGAGAATTAAATCGGGGGAGGGAGTTGGGTAAATGTAACAGCCCCATAAGTGCAATTATGCACTGCTTATTACAGTAAGAAAGTGTACTTATTACACTTAGTATAAAATCGTACTGTCAATTCGGAGGATGGGTTGCCAAGGGGACACAGGTGGAAACTGAGCGCCCACATGAGCCACAGAGATATTAGAAAGAACTTTTTTAGTGTCAGAGTGGTTGACAAATGGAATGCATTAGGCAGTGATGTGGTGGAGGCTGGCTCCATACACAGTTTTAAGTATAGATATGATAGAGCCCAATAGGCTCAGGAATCTGTACACCTGTTGATTGACGGTTGAGAGGCGGGACCAAAGAGCCAGAGCTCAACCCCCACAAACACAACTAGGTGAGTACACACGCTCACAATATTGCGAGGACACTCCGGGAGCTGCTGTTGTTTAAGATCCAGCTACTTAGAACGAGAAGTTCCAAGCAGCACGGGCTATGGTGAGCCCGCAAGTGGAGGAGGTGTAACCTCCTCCGGGAGCGTTTGTCACGTATCATTCCATACAAACGGTTAACACCAGGAGCCCCGGGGTGAGAGGTGTTGGGGGGGAGGTGGCCTCCCGCCGCTAATGGGGAGAGGGGAGGGAGGAGAGATAATGTTGGAGGGACGGGAGGGGGTGGAGGGTTGTAAGGGCTTTAGGCACTAAGGTAGGGTCGAGGTCAGGTGGGGTCACACACACCACCCGCCAATAATGTTTACTACATCCCCGCCCCTAGCCTCCCCCCCTCCCCCCCCCCCTCACTACCAGACCCATAGCAACACAAGGGAACTATCAGGAGAACGTGCCAAGCCATCTGGCCCGAAACCCCCCATGTGTGCTAGTGGCTGACCAAAAATATAAGAACTCTTGTATATATAAGTAAATAAATAAAATAGAAAAATAAAAATTACGACTACACAGCCTAGGAAGAGATCAGGATAAGGATTTGGGATGGGACGCTGGACGGGGGGGGGGGGAGGAAGAGGGAAACTGAAATTGAAATAAGTTTATTGAGGTAAAATACACACAAAGGGATGAGGTAGCTCAAGCTATTCTCACCCCGTTCAGTACATCGTGTTAATACATACATAGACACACATCACAAACAATAAACATATTACCAAACATTCTGAGAGATAAACATATACATTTCCTCCGTTACACAAGTAGAGGGGGGGGAGGGATGGTGTGCCCAACCATTTGATTGGTGGGTGGTCGGGGATTGAACGCGGACCTCCAAGAAGCGAGACCTACGCTACTGTATCTTTTGTGATGTATTTCCTCACAATACACCTCCTTGAACCACACCTAAATAAAGAACAATAATGATGGAATGTGTATTACCGCTCAAGTTAATAGGCTTGACTAACTTAATATGCTTGACTAATAATAAAAGGTCGCTACCCCGGCAAGCACAGGCGTACCCAGCTGTGACTGTGCCCACCACAGTCGTGCCCAGCTGATGGAGCAAGACGTCTCTCCTGAGCCTACAGCTGTAGCGTTCTCTGACCTTCTTTATGGTGTCTTGAGCACGCCTCCCTCCAGCCACATAAACTGGTCGGTACAAGACGACCTCGTCTCACGCTGGAGGCAGATTCCTTATGTCTAATTACTTCCTTCGCTCCCTACTAATATCCAAGTCTATCCCCCCCATATCCCTTCCAAGGGCTCGAGACACGTCCTGGCTAGGCGCACAATCTTTATCAGGCTGCAACTTGCTTACCTAAACCAACTTTTGGGTTCAGTTCCTAAGCTCTTGTCTAAGTCACAAGTCAAGCCTGACCTCGAGCCGGACTTGGAGAGTAGAACAACTCCCAGAACCCCATCAAGCAGGTGTCATTATGTATTATACAAAAAATGTTGGCATACATTTTAAAGCATTTAATTCGCTTATTAAGGCCTTAACTTGCTTAGCTAACTGAGTTTTGGGGTTCAGTCCCTGTGCCCAACATGTGCCTCCATAATCTTTCCACAAGCACCCACAGGATGGGTATGGGGCCCACTACCGCCCACAGGATGGGTATGGGGCCCACTACCGCCCACAGGATGGGTATGGGGCCCACTACCGCCCACAGGACGGGTATGGGGCCCACTACCGCCCACAGGATGGGTATGGGGCCCACTACCGCCCACAGGATGGGTATGGGGCCCACTACCGCCCACAGGATGGGTATGGGGCCCACTACCGCCCACAGGATGGGTATGGGGCCCACTACCACACA